AGCTTGATTTATTCTAATTAGTTGTAATTTATTGTTTTAATGAGCTCTTCTGCAGGCTTTTTGTGCTTCATAACTACCTTCCTTGGCTGCTATAATGCATTTCAAGGAGGTCTTTTAATAAGGAGAGGTTTCCAAGGCTGCCATGGATAGGGAGGTTTTTGTTGGAATGAGAAAGAAGAAAAATTAAGCCAAAATTTGCCTCTCCTCCAGGATGGGTTTGCTGGGGAGCATCTGGCTGGGAGCAGGAGGCTGCACTTCAGTTCTTCACCCAAATGACAAGAGAGCCCTTAATTATCAGCACAGTTTACAACTGGGTTTAAAGACTGACAAAAGAAAACAAATAGGAGAAAAGTCTCCTTCCTCGGGCTGCAGCTCATTATCAGAGAGGGGAATTCGTGGCTGGGAAGTGTTGCAGTGCCCAAAGGCAGCTGCAGCTCCATGAAGGGGTCCCTGATGCCCAACACCACAGGCACACACACTGCCCACCCATGAGGGTCTGTGCTGCTGGGGTGGGGGGGTCACTCAAAGCCCACCCAGTCCCCTCCCAAGGTGGGTCCTGGCAGAGGAATCCAGAACATGATGCCTTAACACCCCACAGGCTTTGCTTTATCTACAGAGATCTCTCCTCCCCTCCCCTCTGCTGGGATGGGTGAAGCTTCAGGAATTTCTTAGTCTGCTCCCAGGGGTGGCTGTGCCAGTTTGTGGCCAGGAGCTCTGGCTGAGCTTCCCAGCCTTTGATTTGGAAGGGGCAGAAAGGCCAGCTGGTCAGTCAGGGTGGGTTATTTCTCTGATATTGGGTTCTTTCTTAAAACAAACAAAACCAAAAAAAAAGTAAGCTTTTCCTTTTCTGTCCCCGCAGCCACCACGTGGCAAAGTGTTCCCTTTGGAGACATCTAAAATAAAGCAGATGAGATTTGCTTTGCAACTGCAGACTAAAACTGCATGAAAGCAAAGTTTCCAGCAGAGGAGAAACTCCCAAAGAGAAACATGAAAACCCCCAAATGACTGACTAGAGCAGAGAAACACCTCGGTGGTTACAGCATATTTTCTCAGGGAAAAGGGACTGGCTCATCCCGAGGCAGCCCACCCTCAGGGAGCCAGGGATGCTCTAGAAAGGGAAAACACCTAGAAGTGTTATACCAAATCCTCTGTGCAAATACAGATGGATTAACTGCAGGAATAGGAACCGGCTGCCAAGTGAGAGCCTGGAGAGCTGCACATTGCCTGGAGGGGCCGAGGGGGGCTCTGCAGCCTGAGGGACAGAGGAAGAGGATGCTGAGGGAAGTCAGGATGAGCCCCCTGCATGAGCAGCTCTGAGCTTTGCAGAGAGGCTCCCAGAGGGGATGGGAAGCACAAACAACCACATCAGCCAACAAAAGGGTCTCTGTGAGCACCCCAGGACCCCACAGCTTGATCCAACCCTGAGCAAGCAAAAGACATCAAAGGCATCCCCACAGGGTGAGCCAGTGTGTCCCGAGCCATGGGCACGTGTGGGTGTGAGAGCAACGCTTCCCAGAGCGGGGATGGGCACGGCTGTGGGAGCTGCTGTGCCAGCTGCTGACCACGGCTCTGCCCAGGCAGCAGTGGGACCTGGGCAGTTGGAAAATAAAAATCAATCCTGTTTTTCTAGAAGAGACCAGGTCCATGGAGGTGCCTGGTGTGTCTGGACAGCTCTGGAGCTTCTTGTGGATTATTCACCCAGCTCCACATGCTGCCAACCAAAATAAATCAATTCAGCTCTTGTTTCCATTTTAGGAAAATAAATCCTCTGGGACAGGCTGGGAGGTGGTGCCCTGCTAGGAGCCACATGCTCCCCGTCCCAGCCCTGGTGGGATGTGAACCAGACTCAGAAACTGCTTGGCCCTACTGACCCACGCCTATGCCTTGTAGAGGGCAGGTGATGCCCCACAGCTCAGGACAGACAGCAGGACACAGCTAAGAGGTTTATTCAGCCTCCTGCCACCGAGCTGCCTGGAGAGCTCTCCCACGGCTTCGGTGACCTTATCCTTATCTCCCTATGTCCTTCAGCCTGTCACAGTGGCCAGTTGGAGCAGCAGGTCCTTTGAGGCTGGTTTCCCATGACACAGCCCCTTATCTTATAGCACTGAGCCCTCCCCATCAGCCCATCCCAGCTCTGTGCCTGCAGCACTGGGAATCACCCGTTTGTGCTGCAGGAGGGATCACCAAAAATCTTTCCTAGAATAAAGAGTCTGCATGAACCACCCACATTTCCCTCCAGCAGCCTGGGAGAGCCTTGCTAGGGCTCAGAGCTGAGCTTGCAAGCTCATGGTCCTGAGATGCATCAGGAGCTCCTGGATTTCCACCTCAGCCCTGACTCCACCATCCCTCTCCCAGAGCAGGCACACTCCTCATGCTCCCTGCTCTGGCTGCTGTCCAATTGGTGCCAATAAAGAGCCTAATGCAAATTGCCCAGCATTCAACTGCTTAATTCCACCAGCCCCTTTCAGAGGTGGTTGTGCATTTTATCAGAACTGACTTCTTGGAAAGAACAAAAATAAAATCTCCCAAACACCTGCTCCTCTCCCCTCCCCATCCAGGAACAGCCCTGTGCCAACAGCATCAGTGTTGCTCTGAAAGCAGGATTTGAAGGCCAGATAAGGATGGTTCTTCTGTCTCCTTCAGCAGTAAAAGTCACTTGGTCTTGAATGATGTGGATATTGGGAAGTCCAATGCTTCTCCAGGAGAAATAAGGGAGCATTGGCCTCCTGGAATGATTTTGACAAGGGCCAGCAGAGCAGAGCTGTGTCTGAGGTGTCCTGTGCAAGCTGAATTGCTGATAAACATGATCCAGCCCCTTCTCCTGTGTGTGACAGAGGTCCCAAAATGCACAGACTGGGTCTGCATCCCTCCTGAGCAACCCCAGGGTCAGACCTGCAGGATGCCCACTCCTCCCAGAGGATGCTCACTCACTGTTCTATCCTGTACACGGCACCAGCCTCAGAGGCAATATTAAGCCATAAACCATAATGTGTTCTGACACCACCTGATGTGCTGTAATTGCTCTAAACCCATGAAATATGATGTCATTGCAGAGTGGCTGCTACCACTTTGTGTTACGGGTCTGATGGCTCCAAGCTGTTACCTCACAGCAGGCTGAGGGAGAGCAAACAGCTCCTGCTCCCCACTGGCCCTGGCTCTGCTCACCCTGGTACCCCAGAAATCCACATATCCCAACCCATCTTCTCAGACACGGGGGGAGAGGCTGATACAGAAGTGCCCTCTGTATTTCCAAACTGATTTATCCATTTGCAGAAACACCAGGAGGGGTTACTTGTTTAAAACCTCATTCACTCAAATAATCAGATCATAGTTAAAAAAAGCCCCGGATCTCCAGTTAGTTTTTTCATTAGTCTGTGATACTTCAGACCATCCAAGAGCTTGGAAAGCTGCTGCCTGCACAAATCCAAGCACACTGCCAATGGAAAAGGTCCTTAGTGCTAATTGCCCATGCCAACCCCAGGCATTAAGAAATTATTGCTAATGCAGCTTACAACAGCTTTTATAAGACACTATTAAGGAATTCACCAGAAAACAGAACCAAATAAAGCAGAAAGCGATTAAAGAAAAACAAAACTTACCCCAAACTGCTGGATCAGCAGGAACAAGAGCTGGAGCCATCATCTGAGTGTGGCAGCTCCAAAGCTGAACTTGAAGCTCCCTTTATCCCAGCAGTGTTGCTGCTGTAGCCTGGGGCCTTCCCTAAATACCCTGGGGTGGGAGCAGGGCTCAGCTGTGACTCATTTTCCCCCAGCAACTCCCTCTGGAGTTGCAGTTGGTCCCTTGCACCTGCAGCCCTGCTCAGGCAGCCAGGTCAGGGCTGCAGTGGTGCACATCCAGCCAGGATGCTGGGCCTGAATGTGGTTCCAGGGGGACGTGCTTCCCCTGGGGTCCTTCCCATGAAAAGGGACAAAGCTGAGGTTGGGCCTGGGGTTGTTTTTTCAAAAGGCTGATAAAAATAAATCTTCAAAGGGGTGAGGAAGAGGAGGCACAGTTTGTGCTGGAGAAGTGTCACCCACAGAGATGACGGCTCCAAGTGGCACAAGGACACAGGGCTGTGACTCATGACTTTTCGGCATTCCATCCTGGTGTCAGTATCACATTTCGAGGATTATATTTTATTCATAAAAATTGCTGTGCTCACAGCCGTGTCCGGCAGAGCCGGCGTGTGGCTGAGCCTGGGGCTGGCAGTGCTGTGCACCACCAGAGGGTCCCAGCTCTGTAACAACTGCTGAAAAGTAAAAATAATACGTAAAACTGGGTGAGAGTCCCCAGGTTCCACCCCATGACCTGGAATGTGGGTGCCTTCATGGCACCCGAGTGCTGGGCCGGGGTTTACAGCACGTGATGGGCTGTTGTTGGTAACCGCAGCCCAAATGAGCCCGGGTGGAGCATGTGAGGTGGTATTTTTAACTCTGAGGTCCTGGTGACATGGAAAACTGGGTGCCTGGTCCAGGTGCTGCACAGATCGATGGAAAATTTCCCACCACCCATCGACAGCTCAGCTTTGCCAACCCTGGGCACTGCAGTGTGTTAACAAATGGTGCTTCTCCCTCACGAGCCCAGAGCCCAGCAGAAACCTCCACTAGGGAATTAGCTGGGAAGTGCTTCCCTGCAGAGCTGAAGGTGGGAAGGTGGCATGGTGAGATGGAAAGAAGGATGGTGCAAACCCAAATTTCCCAGCTCAGAGCCTGATTTACCATCCCCAAGCAGGAAAAACATTTTCAACCCCTTGAGAGGGTAAAGACAGGACGAGCCCATGGTCCTCGCCAGGCTTGATGGCTCCCCAGCACAGTGTTAGCTGGGACTTGGAATTCACCCATCAGTGCAGACATCTCCACACATCTCCCTTGTCCTTCCCCCCCACGGGGAGGACCTGTGCCAGGCTGGGAGGTGGCACATGGTGGCATCCCCCCTCCTCCCCGCCACCCTCCCGCAGCCCTGTGCCCACCCTCGCCGGCTCAGCCGAGACAAGCGGAGGCTAAGAACATCCACTGGGTTTTATTCCTCAGGTCTGACAAGTAAAAGCACAAATTCTCTTTGGAAATAAGGAAAAAGAAATTAAACCAAAACCCCAAACCAACGTTCAAAGCACGCGGACAGTTTGCGTTTCTCAGGACGGAGGCCGTGCCATCAAGCTCCGCCGCCGGACACGTGTCCTTCTGCAGAGATGTAGTTTAAAAAAAAACAACTCATGGAGGAAAAGAAGACACAGGGCTACGGGTTTCCATGTCAATTCTAGAGGAGAAAAATGGCCCTTTTTTGCTACTGTTATAAATATCCCATCCGAGCGACTCAGAGCAAACAATAACCGTGAGGAGGACATCCGTTCTGCTTGGCCCCGTGGGCACAAAATCTCTACTGGCACCTCAGACTGCTACAAGCCCTCGGGGACGGTGGCCTGGCACCCGTTGTGTGCCCCGGCTCTCAGCTGGCCCCCCCGGGGTGACGGGTGCTGCCATCCCTACGAGCGGCACCCGTCACCCTTGCCGGAGGCTGTCAGGATGCCGCGCCGCAGGGGACCAGGGAGCAGGGATCCAGGGGGAGAGGGGGCAGGGGAGGAGGGGTGCCGGGGCATGGCAGGGCCACGGGTGGCTGCTCAGGTGCAGGCGGCCTCCTGGCTCTCGACGGGGATCTCGCTGCCGCTGCCGCCCTCGCCGTACTGCTGGTAGGGGGGGATCTGGGGCGCCTCGATGATGAGCAGCCCCTCCGGAGACAAGGAGGCGAACACCGTGATGGGATCGACCTCGTAGGGCAGCCTGCAGGAGGAGGGGAAAGATGGGATGGGTTAGGAGTGCGGGCCATGCTGCATTCCCGGTGGACACCGACGCTTGGGAAGCTCACACAGGACCCCCAGTGTGTGGGGAACCACCCGAGGCACCAGCCCGGGTGTGGGGCTCAGCAAAGCCTCTGTTATTACTGTAGTGCCTGGGAATGTGTCAGGGATATTTAGAGCGGGCTCCTGGCCGGCCTGGCCCCCGTGGGAGCTCTGTTTAATCTCCCCGGCAGATGTGTTTGACGGGATGTCACCCGCCGCTTGTGCCTCTACAAAGCAGGAGTAAATCCTGGCCGTGCCGCAGCCCACGTCAGCCGCGAGCCTTGCCCGTAAAAGGAGCCCGAGCGCCGAGCAGGAGGGAGCGCAGCGCTCGCCCCAGCCTTCCCGTGGGAGTTTGGGATGCACAGGGCTCCTTCAGGGTGGAAAAGTGAAGCTGAGCTGCTGCCAGCTGAGGAAACCCTTCCCATGCCTTGGGCTTTTTGCTGCCTCTCCCTGTTAACCCCTGCGGCCGGGGGTCTGCCCCCCACATCGGCTGCCTCTGCAGGACTCGCCTTTGCCATTGTTGTTGCCAAAGTGAGCCATGGGTGAGTCAACGTGATAGCGATCTGAGTGACATCATGGAGATAAACGGATACAGAGACATCCTCGGGGATGTGCTCCGGGGCTGGCGGTGGTGTCAGCCCGTTGTGCCCCGCCGCACCCCGGGGGTTGGCTCCTCACATCCCTCCCACTCCCCGCGCCCCAGCCCTCCCCAAACACAGCCCCGGGCGTGGAGGAGACTGACAGAGCACCCCAAAAAAGGCCTCCTCCTCCTTCATCTCCCTCGGGAAGTTACTTCGTGGCCTGAACCAGCCAGGCACGTGCTGCAGAAGGGAAGATTTTGGGGTGAAAACAGTCCCTGCGTGTGTGAGCTGGGGCGCAGGGACTGGCAAAGCTCAGCCAGGCCAACCGGTACCTACTGGATTTTCTTGGTGAAGTTCTTGGAGACAATCCCTCCTTCCACCTGCTGCTCCTCGTGTTTGCCTGCAGGGAAGGCCAACACCCCACATCAGCACCTCACCAGGAGATTATTTTTTCCCCCAACAAACAACAACAGCAAAACCCAACAGGAAAGTTTTCCGAGCAGTTGTTTCCCTTCCCCTGTGCAAACCCTTCCCTTGGGAGGGCTCGGGGAGCCTCTCCATGTGGGGAAGGTGATGGTGGACAGAGCACAGCCGTATTTCCAGTAAGAAAGTGGGGTCTCACAGGCTGCCAAGAGCTGGTGCTTAAGAAAATAAAAATAAATAAATAATAAAACCTTTGGAGGTGCCAGCCTCCTCCCCTGGCCCCACTGGGCTGGGCTCCTCTCCACCACAGTCAGGATGGGGGTCCCTGTGCCTGGAGCATCAGCCAGTGTCTGCCTGGACCCTCCTGACCTGGGGTTTCCCTCTGTGATGCTGTGAACCCCAAATAAATACCTGAGACTGTGCTGGGTGGCAGCCCCAAGCCCTCCCTAGTGACCCCAGCCCAGGGGACTCGGGGCCAGTGGAGGACATCAGTGCCAGGCTGATGGGCTGCTGAGGGCACTCTTGGGCACCCCAGATGTGGTGGACCCTGCACCCCCTGTCCCCACCATTAACTGACTTCTCAGGGACGTGCTTCTGCCCAGCTCAGACCCAGGCTGGGGCTGTGGAGCAGCTGCTCCCTTCTTCCCAGCCTCTCCCTCGGCCCCTTTAAAGGGAATCTCCCTCCGTGCCGGCCTCACCCCGGCTATAATTAACCCAGCCAGGCTGGGGCCCCTCTCTTGGCCGCTCACTGCAGGGTGCCGCCAGCCGGGGTAGAAAGCAGGGAGATTTACCCCAAAGGACACGTGTCCTTTTTCATTCTGACAGCAAACCACCATGGCTTGTGAGCCGGATCCCCCCATGGCACCCCCGAACTGCCTGTGGAGCTGCCCCAAAACCCTCCCCGGCTCCCGAGCACAGGGCTGCTGCCGCTGCCTTAAAATAAAGGGGATTTTAGCATTTTACAGCAATTCCTCGAGCCGGCAGGACCGGCTGCTTTTCGTGCCCCATCCTGCTCTCACCTGACACCTCGACGTAGCCGTCCTTGGTTTTGACGGTCAGCTCCTCGGGTTTGAAGCTGTGCACGTTGACACAGACCTTCCAGGGCTCGCGGGGAAAGGGCGCGGGGCTGCGGCTCTCGGGGTACCCCCCGAAGTGGGCGCCGTAGCCGGGGGCCATGGCCGAGGGACGGCCCATCCCGGCGCGCAGGGGGCCCGGCCAGGTGGTGGTGAGCCGGGGCCGAGCCCAGTCGGGCCAGTCCGCCGTCAGGTCCCCGGGGAAGGGTGACAAGCCGAAATCATCGTCCAGCAGGCGCGAGGTCAGGCCGGGCTCCCGGAAAGGGTCTCGGATGCTGCGCCGGCCGGGATAATGGCAGGAGAAGGGCAACTGGCTGTCGGCCATGGCTTCCTTCGGAGGGGTCTGAGCGTGTCCCTGGGGCTCTCCCACGGAGCCTCAGCCTCTGTGTGGCTGTTCCTGGCTGCAAACTTCCCCCGGGAGCCTGTCCCGGAGGAGACGCATCCACCCCGGGTGGGACGTGGGTGCACGGGGACGGTCCCTCCTTCCCAGCACCAGGTGAAGGACGATGAGAAAATCGATTCAAGCTGAATCACCGGGAGCTGGAAGAGCGCAGGAAGGACGGAGGGAGCTCTCTGGCCGTGAGAAAACGCTTCCTGTCTGGCTGCGATCCCAGGACCGGGGAGAGGAAAATAAAACTTCTTGTCAGGAGAAGAGAAAAAAATAGTAAAACCAAGTATCCTGAGATTAAAAAGCTTCTCTCTCCTTTCTCACTCCCCAGCACTTTATGTGCAACTTTCCCCGCTGCTCCCGGCTGGGAGCTGCAATAAATGCCTGAGCTTGGAGCCCAGAAACTTCTCTAACCTTCCAGCCCTTGGGCGAGCACTATTTATATGGATTTGGGAGGAGGGGGGTGGTGTGTTTTGCAAGTCCTGCCCTGTCAGCCGAGTATTTTGGAGAGGATGAAACAGCCGTGGAGAATCCGGGCTGTGGCAGCTGACCACTCCTGCTAGCCCGAGGATCCCGACTGCGCTGGGGCCACGGCACTTCAGCAGCTGCCCCAGCCCCCGCTGCCCCCTCCTGCCGCCCTGCCTGCCCAAAATAGCCCGGGCTGGCTTCTTTCACCCCAGTGTCACCTGTTAAAAATACCTTGGTGGGGCTGACCAAGCTGTTCCCCTCACTGTAAAGCCACGTGTCCCCACACCACCGGGTACCACTGTACCGGGAAATGGGTCACTGGTGGCACCCCCAGCACAGCACAGCGAGGGCGGTGGGACCCCGTGGGTGGGTGTTTGGGGGATGCAGGGCAGGGAACAGGATGACCCTCTCCAGCACCGCTTCCTTGGCCACCTTCACCTGTTGGGCCCAGAGAAGTGTCCCCTAACTGGGGGAAGGAGAGGGACCCCGGGAAGCAGGCAGGGTCCCCACGGTGCTGCTCAGTACCTGCCTCCTCCTCGCCCCGCCGCGTGCCCCGGCCCTGCCGCAATCCCGGTGCGGGCAGGGCGAGGCGCTAATCACAGCCGCGGCCGGCTAATTACAGGGCAGCGGCGGGAGCGAGCCGCGCGGTGGGAAGAGGCGCGGCGGCGCTGCCGGGGGAGCTCCCAGCGAGCATCCACCCGGGAGACACAGCCCCAGCCCGGGCGACATGCAGGGGGTACCGCTGGCAACGAGGGACTCCCCGTGGAGGTGATCCAGGCAGCGCCCCGGCGAGCAGTGGGGATGCGCTGGACGGTGGGATGTGATCAATGAGGGTCACGTTGGATACGGAAGAACTTCCTCTTGCCGCATCCTGGCTCTGCTTCATGCTCCGTCTCTCCAGCATTTGCAATTTTTCTAATGGACTTGATGGAACTAATTGCAGCAGGAAGACTTTAATGCACCGCAGGCCGCGCAGAGATTCAGCCACTGGTCACTCCGTGGCATTAATGACGCTGCACCGACGTGACATCGCTGGGGGCGGGGAGCTGCCTCTCCTGGGCCGGGACAGGGCTTCCTTCGCTTCCGTGGAGGCAGCTGGTATCACAGGGGTCTCCCTGGGGTCCAAGGGGGATGCCTGAAGATGCCCGGGGAAGTCTCAGGTGCCGGCTGAGCACCCCTGGTGCAGGGGGGCAGCTGCCAGCAGAGAAGCTGAGCATCCCCTTCCATGCCCTTCTCCTGCCTGGCTGTCCCTGCCTGGCTGGGGGCTCTTGCTGCCCACGAGTGACAGTAGGGGGGCCTGGGGGACGTGGCCACGCACTGATCCTGAGCTGAGTGGGGCACCTCTCACCGTGGCTGGGCAGTAGGGTCACTCCAGCACTGACATCTGCACCTGCTCTGGCAAACACCAGAGCACTGGGAGAGGGGGACAAGCCCCGAGGATGTTTCGGGCAGCCCCACGATCCTGCTGTGTTTCCAGGAGCCTCAAAACATCCCCAGTCCCACATTTTTCCCACATAGCTCCAGGCCATTCTCCCTCCCCGGCCAGGAATTCTGCCTGTCGCCTCGTTCATCCCCATTAGTCACACGTCCCCTCCTACCCGCTCTGGGCCGTCCCAATTTAGCTCCTGTTGTCACTCCAAACCTCCCGACTGCCTCCCACTGCTGAGCCACCCTGCGACATCAGTTCTAGGAAGCATGAAGTGCCCTTGCAGCCTCCCTTCTCCTCTGAGTGACCTGGGGATGCTGTTCTGTGTTCCCAAGATCCATCTGTGCCACGGCCAGACCTTTCCTGGCTGCCTATCTGAGCCCTGTTGGGGACAGCATGGGGATCTGGCCCAGTGCTGCTGCTCCCCTGTGGGGCTTCCAGCCAGTCCAGGGGCACACCCCAAAGTGAGGGTGCTGAAGAATCCCAGTTGCCTCTGCCTCCTGGCAAGAAGGTGACCATGGCAGGAGCTCTGTGCAGGGTTTGGAATAAGAGCTGTGCAAGCAGGGAAAGGCACAGCCCCAAGGAGAGCAGTGTTGAGCCCAACAGTGACCTCCATGGAGAGATGGATGGATTTCTGGCTTGGACTTCCCATGCCTGAATAGGGTGGGGGGATCCAAAGTGCCTGGCAAAGGGCAGCAGAAGCCTGGCCCAGCAGGGAAAGGAGAGCTGCCAGAAATACTAGCCCACAACTTTTTTTTCTTCAGCCAGTCCCCTGAGGAGCCAGTCCTCAGCAGCTGGGAGTGGAGGCACATGCCCTTCCCTGTGGAGCAGCTGAAACAACCCAAAATATCCCACTGTGCACAGTTGGATCCAAAAGGAACACGACAAACAGGGCTGTGATGCAAAGGAAATACTGTCCGAACCTTTATTGGAACCTTTTTCTAACCAGGCTAACAACTCAAACACCCAGGAAGACTAAAGGATACAGAACACATGTCGATGGAGAGCAAGGGGAGCTTTACAACGAACTCAAACAAACAGATGCACCAATGTCATTTGGTGTGGAATCAACCAACGGGCAAGAAAACAGAGACACTGTTTCCCTCACGGCTTTTCTCATGCCTTGGCTTTTCTAGATCTTCTCATTCCCTGGGTTTTGAAGGCAGAGAGCTGTCCCAGGCCTGTGAGGATCAGGGTGTTTTTCTTTAGGCAGTAGCCCAAAAGTTGGGATGCTTGACCACGATGCTGTTGCTACAACAGCAGATGTACTGGTGCTTCAGGGACCCTCCCAGTCATGTGCAAACTTCCAGGTAGCAGCAAAGTCATGAGAATTATTTGTTCTCTGGTAAAGAGGTAATAAAACCCCACTGGACAGTACAGGGCAAAGTCTTCACCTGAATCGGTCCCTTTCTCAGACCAATATCCCAATTGCCCCAAGGCTGAGCACCCAGCAGCTCCCAGCCAGCTCCCTGGGAACAGCCCAGCACTGGGCACGTATCAATGCCAGAACCACGTCCACACTCCACCACCACAGGCATCTCTGCCCATGGAGCACAAACACCTCCCACTCGGGGAAAGAGGACACTGGGGCAGATCGTGATTTTTAGCACGTCCCATGCTCTTTCCAAAGCTGGAGGAGGATTCCTGCAGCAAGCTCTGCTTGTGTTGGAAACAACAGCAGAGACCGCCCCAGTCCTGCCCTGGCCACCTTTCCTGAGCTCCCACCTGGACAAAGCTACTGGTTCTGGCACAAAGCTCAGGGAAGGGGGAAAAGCAGGACATGGCACAAAGGTCTCAGGATGGGGCAGTGTGGACATCCTGCCTTCCTGGTAGAGACCACGGCCAGTCACTTCAACCCTATCCTCTTCCTCATCATCGATGCAAAGGTGACAAGTATTCCCCTCTCCCAGAGGGAAGAGGGCACCAGCAGTGGGAGATCAGAGATCTCCAGGGATCTTTGGTGATCCAGGCAGCCCTATTCCATATGGCAGAGGAAGAGGAGCAGGGTTATTCCTCCACAAGAGCTGGCCTGTCACCTCTGAATGCCCTGCACCTTTCCAGGGGGATGTGATTTGTCAACAGGAGCTGGTCCAGGGAGATGGAGAATTTTCACCTGCCTTGCCCATCTCTGTCACAATGAGGTTCTTCCCTAAATCACTGATGGTGAAGTCCAAATGAGCCCAATTTGCCTGTTTCTCTCCAACATATATGGCAACACCTCAAAGGCTCCTACCTTCATAGACCCAACGGCATGGCCCAAATAGCTTTTTTAAATTAATGCTCAATAAATAGAAGAAATAAATATTAAATAGAGGCCAAGTCCTCTCAGCCTGTTCAATATATGTACAATGCATAGCAAAATAAGTGATTGGCTGTTGCAGACAAATTTGGTACAAATTCAGTCCCCAAAACAACAAAAACATTGAGAAAGTTGCAGTGAACATAAAGCAAAGCTCAGCTGAGTGCTGTAAGCCATGAAGAAAAGAACAAACAGAACAGTGCTTTGAAACATCCCTTATCTTTGCTTCCCAGCATTTTCCTGATGCTATGGCCAGCCTTGGACATCCCTTGTGTGTCTGACCACAGGTGAGCAGCGATTCACCAACATCAAAATGACCAAGTTGCTTTTCCACCAGATGAACTTGCTCTTTGCAGAGAGCACCTGCAGCAATCTGAGATGTTGGATTCAGAGCAAAAATCCATAAAAGCAACAAATGAGAGAATTAAAAAAAAAAAAAAAAGAAAAAAAAAGCACTGGCAAAAGGCACAGAGACAGAAAAGCTCACGGGCTTCACACAAACTCACAGAAACCCCAGTTGTCCACTGACAAGGGAGGGTGATGTTCCAGGTTGTACTAAAAATCTTAAATAAGTTAAAAAATAAATACCATGACCAAGGGAAACTCACATGTATATGCACATGTGCACATACATACGTACACACACACAGACTGGGTTTTGCAAGGACCTTCCGCAGGGATCAGTCTCTCACAGTCTCATTTCTTTAGTTTTCCCATGGGTGGGTCACTGCGCAGGGATAAACACAGCAGGGGAGTCCTGGCGACGGGGCATCCTCCCAGGGAAACCAGCAGTGCCTCTGTGGAGCAGATTGGTTTCGGGTTGAGCACCGGCTGCGGAGCCAAGGGAAACAGCACAGCAGCCAACTGGCACCCGGCCGGCGCGAGCACGGCCCGGGAGACACTTCCCCTCGCAGCACTGCCAACACCCCGGGGCTCAGCCGGCCGGCAGACCCTCGCCATCACCTCTGTCAGCTCCAAACCTGTCTGCATGCTCACATCCATCGCATTCCTGCGCAAATCTAATGAGAGACCCTAGATTTTAACGTGAAAACACACAGCTCTGCCCCTGCTCCAGAGAGCACAGAGGGACACGTTGGCAGCAGGAGTGACTGTCACTCCTCAGCAAGAGGGGCCAGAGCTGTAAACCTTTACATGAGACCGGCAGCATGGATACATTCAAACAAACAAACAAACAAATCCGAAAATAACTTAATGTTAAAAAAAAAAAAAATAAATACTGGTAACAGTGACCACTTGCATACATTCTGACATAGAATTAAAAATAGAATAATAATAATAATAATAATTAATAAATAAATAAATAATTTAGGAGGTTTAATCCTATGCAAGTCTGCTTGGGAAACCCCAGGAACGTTTAGCTGCCATGGACTGTCCAGGCAGATGCAATCCTTGAAACATAGATCAGCTGGACAGGTTTGAGAGCCCTGTGCAACCCTCAGGGTCATCTCCTGTCCCATGGTGAGTGGATGCTGCTGATCCTGGTGTGGTGCTTCCATTGTCCAACCCCAGCCACGATGTGTGTTTGGTATTTACACCAGTTGCACAAAGCCCCTCCTCTTTTCCTTCTTAATTTTGGATCTTCTGGCTCGCTGCTTCCTCGCTACAGCTGCATGTGGGTGTTACGGGGTGCCAAGGGGCAGGAGGCTGCTCCTGAAACATTGGTAAAGCTGGGATCTGAGCTCCCATCACTGCCTTTGGATCTTCCCCAGGAGCAGAAGGACAGGGTATTTCAGCATCAGACTGGGAAAGACTCTTTGGGGAAGAATTGTAAGGTTTTCAGCCCTTTAGAGAGGGAGCTCACTGCAGAAGGTGGCCAAGGGGCCACTGTCAGGGCCAGCACAGGAGGGAAGGCAGTGGCACCTCACTGCAAGAACACCCTGTCTTTGATCCCTCAACCACAGCCCTGGAGCATTTGCTCAGCCCTACAAGGAATGCTTCTCTCTCTGTCCTAGAAAGTGTCATCCCAGGAGACAGATATGTCCCTACCAAACCACCAACTACACCAGTGCCCACCTCTGCCTCAGCCATCCTCATCCTAACATTACCTACAGAGAGCAAGGCTGGGGATCGGGGTCTGGGAAAAGGGGGGACTTTGGGTGTTGAAGGCACAGGACAAGGGGAACCAGCAGTAGGAAGGATACGGGGAAAGAGACTCCTGGCATAAAACTTCCCCTCGTACCACCCAGGTGGAATTCCAGCCCTCACTGCTGTACTTTTCAACAGGTAACAGGTTTATAGGCTTGCTGAGGCGATCATCCATCTCCACCACAACACCTCGTGGCACTTGGCTTTCTTCCACTTGCTGCTGTGGCCCTTTTCCTGCTGCCAGCAGCACTGGGGGGCTGTAGGTAACTCTTTAGTTGGGGGAGGGTTGCATTCCTTTCTACCCCCTCTCCTCCTCCTGCAGATGGTGGCTCCACTCAGCCCTTTTCTGTGACATTTAAACAACACACCTCCTTGACTCATTAAGCCCAAACTCGTTAATAATCAGGCAGGATGGAAGGGGAGGGGATGGAAAAATGGAGGGTGGGAAGTCCAAATTAGCGTCTCTAAGCACCCAGGTGTTGTAAGAGAAATAAACTCCTCAGCACCAGCTCAGCCTGTGCTGGGAGAAGCCTTTGTTACCCGGCAAAACACAGTAATTGCGCAGGCAGCTGGGCTGGCAGGGAGACAAAACCCCAGGGCCCAGGGAGGCCGGGCAGGCAGGGCCCTCCTGCCACTGCCTGCGGCTCCCTGGAAAAACAGGCAATTAGTGGGGGGCCCTTCCTGTCCCCTTGCACTGCTCTGGCCTCCCGGTGACAAACTGGGCCACCAGTAAACCCTGCTGCAGCCTGGCACCAGCACTACTGTGCTGCTGGTCCTGCCTCAGGGCAGCCTGAAGGGCTCAAGGAGAAATGGTTTCCTGAAATCCTGCTTAAAACTACTGCGTGTTTCAGGAAAGGGATTTGGGGTCCCCTGGCTCATGCAGTGCCCTTTTAACCCTGTGTGCTCTCACTGTACCCCACAACCAGGCTGTCTCCACACCTCCCTACGGTTCCACTCCAAGGGCAACGCTCCCTTTAGAAAAACCTGAACCCAAACTGCACGAGGTTTCCTCCAAGAAGGGAACCACGTGGCCCCTGTCTCCCATGCCACTGCCTGACCCTCGGAGTGCAGCATGACAGCAGCTCCCCTCTGCCTTGTACCCCACCAGCCCCCTGTCTGCTTCAGACCTCAGCAGGCTGCTTGCAAGCAAGTCAGCACTGGGGGATAAAACAACCCTGCAAAACGTGTGGTTATTTAGTAGGAAAGGGCAGGAGAAAGAGCAAACAGCCCTTTTTTTCCCTGGAAATTACGTCAGGAGGGATTTCTAGCCTTCTATTTATAGCAGGGCCTGGCTGAGTGGCAATAAATAAATATTTTCTTATGGAAAAGGCCTGCTACAGAATGGGCAGCTACTCTGGAGGAGAGACTCAAAGGACCTGATATTTGCCTTGGTGGGGACAGGTCACCCCCCGATCTCGGAAGCTTTCCAGTAAAACTCCTCCCTAACTGGGTCTCTTCCTCCAACAGAAGTTAATTTGTTGGTTCCTGGAGCTGAGTTCTTTCCTTTGGAAAAGCTGGTAGTGCTTTGGAGAGTGGTAGCGATGGAGAGACGGGAGCATCAGGGAGGATGGAGCAGGTCTGTCGTGACAGACCCTCTGTAAAGCACCGACCCTTCTTCCAGCCCTGGCACAGGGAGCTGGGACTGATCCACCCACTCCATGGCAGAACAAAGGGGCTGCATCAGGCGCTCCAGGGCTCTTAACTCTGAACCGGGGAAGGGGGACCCGGCACTGCCACCACATCAGTATCGGGGATGATTGCTATCGATGGCCAGGTAGGTGGGAAGGAAGCGGAGAATGCCAGGAATCTGGAGGTGCCGCCGGCACACGGTGTCAGCCACCAGCGGCACTCCCTAACGACGCAGGCTGTCGGAGCTGGCTCCTGAGTCATAGCTCCTGCTCCTGCTGCGGCTGCTCCTGGGGCCCGAACTCCGGCTGCGGCTCCTGCCCTCGGCGCTGCTGCTGCTCCAGCTTCGGCTCCGGCTCGTCCGGTAGCTGGAGTAGCTCCGGCTTCGGCTCGGGGAGCGGCTGAAGCTGCTGTACCAGGAGGAATAGCTGCTGGCACTGCTGGAGGAGGAGGGGCTGGGACGGTAGTAGGGGATGGGGCGTTTGCGGGCACTGTGGGGACAGAGAGACACGGGTTACCAGCAACACAAGGACAGATTTACTGCCAAAATCCCCAAAGAGCACTGTTTGCTCTGCACAACACTCCCAGAAATATGAATGTGTTTGCTTAAAAGAAAAAGAAGGAAAAGATCAGGTAGCTGATGGGCCTTGGGATTCAAACCACCCACACCTACAGCCCTGGGGAACATCCCAAACATGAAATCTGAGGCAGGGCTCTGCTTGATGTTGTCCCAAAGAGCCCTCAGCATGAACGCTGGAGTCAATGTTTGTCTTTCTACAGTGTGGGACATCTACCACAGGGAAGGATGAAATAAAAACCTGTGAGGAGATGCTCCTAGCACCTGAGTCCCTGCTCTGACTGCATCCTTTTTCCTTCAGCTGTTGTAAATGAGACACACACACCCCCCCTCCAGTCCTCCCTCTGCCTCTAGCTAGAAATCCCCAAGCTCTGGGAGGGGTGGAAGGGCCTGTTGATCAGGCTCAGGGAAACCTGAGAAACCTCCTCTGGCAAGGGCTGGGACCCAAGGACAGCCCACATCCCCCTGGGAAGCGCCAGCTGAGCCCGTGTGCGAAGGATGGGGCGGCATCCCCTTACCTTGTGATGCGCCGAGCTTCGAGGTGGCTGGGAGAGTCCCTCCGGCGCTTCCTCAGGGGGGAGTAGGAGCGGCGCCGACGCTGCCGGTCACGCTCCCGGTGCGACTCCTTCTCACTGGAGCTGTACTTGTGCTCTCGCTCACGGTCCCTGGGGAAGGCACAGGTTGTGAACTGTCACTGCTGGGGGACAGTTTTGTGGGTGGATTTGGGATGTGGAGGCAATGACCCATTGAGTGGAGGGCACTCATGTCCAAAAGGGACCACTCTAAGTGTTCTGGTGGCATCAGCCCTGAGCTCTCATGTAGCTGGACAGAGAGACACTCATCTGGCTGGACAGATGGACACCACTGATTGTGTCTGGGGGTTCCAGCAGTGTCTTACAGTGGCTCTGCACTGCCAAGCTAAGGTGGCTTACAGGGACCCGTGTCTGTGGGTGTGCTCTGTATTTAGCTCTGTAAAATTGCTCTTGTTGGCCATGCTGCCGGAGCTGGCACTCACAGCCCTGCCAGCAGGAACAGCCCTGCCAGAAGGCCCCACGTGAGCCGAGGGCCCCAGCCCCGAATCCCTGCAGGGCTCCTCACGCCTCGCCAGAAGGAGTGCCGGTGTTGCTATGGTTTTCTCTTTTGTTAAATTCCCGTACACGTCAGTACAGGCCCTTCTGTGGAGCGTGGCTGACTTCATACACCCCGCTCAGTGCCATCTGCAAAGCAACACGTTACAGGTCAAGAGCCTGCCTGATCCTTCCATGCAAAAAACGTTCTCCTCAGTAGCACAGGGATTGTCACAGCTTGCAAGAATCAACCTTGGGAATGTATGATTTTAAGGGTGCAAAATGTTCACAGCAGCAGTGATGATACCAGAAGAACCTGCCCAAAGGCATCTCTAGGACTGAGCTGGAGATGTGTGTTTTCTAAGGAGTGTGGAGGGAACAGAGAGTGCCTGGACCGTGTTTCCCTCTGCAGGCCTGTGAGTGCCAGCCCAAGGGTACTTGGCATCTGCCCCGGCGACAGGGGCACTTCCCAGGGCCTGACAATCTTTGGCAGAACCGTGACTCTGAAAAGCAGAATGTCATTCCCTGCTGCAGTCAGACCCCCCTCTGACATGAGCTCTTCTCCTGGGTGGCCAGACCCAGACAGAGCCTCATGCTCTGCCCACCATTCACACCAGCATGACAGAGAGGGGCACTTCCTGGGTTTTCCCATGAGGCATCTCCCACTGGGATGAGGCCGTGGCACACACCACTGAGCAGAGCAGCCATCTGTGCACTCCTGGTTGCACAGCTGTCCCCTGCAAGGGCTTGGAGCTGAGGGACAGCCACTTCACCTGCCACATGCTCTGACTGTGACCATGATGCTTCAAAGCAAAGGATAAAACAGGTCTCCTCCCCAGCAACCCACCCCAAAAGTGCTTTGTGTGAAATCCTCCTGAATCAATACCAGACAGTCCTTGGCTCCAGAAAATCCATTTTTTCTACAGCTCATCTCTGGGCTCTTCCCTCTGCAACAGCACCCCAGGGGCAATAAATGGTGAGAAATCTCCAGTGGACTGAGGGCCAATATACTGCCATATACCTTCCTGCATGACCCTCTGCTCCCTTTCACCACAGTGCTGAGGACCAGAGCACCCAGTGAGGAAGCTGAGGGAGCAGTCTGGGGCTGGGAAGAACCTGGAGGTATGCTGGAGTCCAGCCAAGTGATGGAGGCAGTGGGAAAGCTTGAGGCAGCAGATATCACATGAGAGCTGTACCTGCTACGGCTGTAGCGGGAATAACTGGGGCTCCGACGAGGCCTTGAACTCCTACTCCCAGGACTTTTTTTGCAGGATTTGGAGGAATAGCTGGGGGAACGTGAGGAAGACCTGGAGATAGGAAAGAAAGAGTTAAAGAGGCTGAAGGCTGAGGCTGTACGAGACTACTCCAAACCTGGGTGAGGGGGAAGAGGTGTCCCATATTTCACGGGCTCGGCTCAGCTCTGTGAGCCAGATCCAAGCCTTGAGGATCCCCAGGCACCCCCCCAAACTCTCACACCTCCCCCTGTAAGGAGCCTGCCAGCCAACAAGGGTTAGACATTGCCCAGGGTCACAGAGACAGCCATTTCAGCTGGCCTTACCTCTTTCCCGAGGAGCAGGACCTGCTTCGGGAGTACCTGGGAGAGGCCTTGCGGTGTGAGGAGCGGGAGCGGCTGGAGCCGGGGGAGGATCTGCCCGTGCTGGTGTAGGACGCGCTGCGGGAGCACGGCCTGAGCGGGGAGCTGTGGGTTGGGGATGGGGGCAAGTTTCGCTTCTTCTCCTCCGAAGAACTGAGACACAAGGACAGGCACCCTCTGTGAACAGATGTTTGGACACTCCTTGAAGCTGTGGCTGAACTGGGACTGGTCCCTGGCTGAGGGGAGCACCATGCTCCAGCAAACAAATACTCCCATCCTCCCATTCCCCAGCTGGGGGTAAAAAAGACCTCTTGGCTCCCCAGGCTGCTGTTGCGGGAAACCCCATGTGTGTGGGTCAGAGTCCAAGAGCTCACCCTCCGGGCTGTGCCAGGGAAGGGCTGTGGAAGAGGTCTCAGGTGGCACAAGGAGCTGCTCATCTGCCCCGTGCCAAACACACCAGAGGCATCTGGCTGGCAGAGCCTGGGTCAGGCCAGCGAGCAGTGCAGGTTCTGGGCAGGGAGTGAGGTGAGAAGTGCTGGAGTGAGGGAAAGGCAGAGCATGGCAGGGCAGGGGGCTCTGCTCCAGCCTGGCTGTGGAGCAGCATGAGTGGACACTGAGCAGGCATGTCCTGTTGCCTTTGGACAGCGCTGCGTGGATTCCTCCTCTTCCAGGCACAGAAGTGCCCAGGGAATTAACTGGGGTCAAGAGCCCAGCAGCCAGGCAGCCTCCCAGCAGCCAGGGCCAGCTGCAATCCCAGCTCCACCCATGTGAAGGCAGAGTTATCCCACTGGAGTCACAATGTGATAAGTACATACAGCCCTAAAATTTTACCCTCTGACTGAAAAACAAAGCTTGTTCTTCCCAGCACCCATTCCCCTGGCTCCCACTCCCAGATCATATCCTGGCTCTAACTTCCAGCCTTTAGGACCCAAGGGCCTGAGCTGGAAGAGTTCCCTAACACCACTGCCTGAGCACAGCCTTGAGTACCAGCCACCAAGTTTCAGTGTCCTCACCCCCAACATCCCCTGGCAAATCTCCAGGAATGGGAGGCAATGTTGGAGGCCAGCAGCTACTCCTCTCTCCTGAGGATGACCTGTGGCACTGGGTGGTGGTTTGACTCCTGCCCAAGCCTGGATGCCAAGCACTGTGGCCCCAGTGCTGCTGCTGTGATATCCTGCAGCCAGCGAGGTACTTGCCCCTCCCTGTGCTCTCCACTAGCAGAAGATGCTATCTTTTCACCCTGGACCAGTCCTGGATGAGCTGGGAAGGGGGCAGGTTGGGTTTGCTTCATTGGACAGGTGAAAGAACAGCCCATAATGGTTTTAGTGAAAACAAATCCTGCTTCCCTTCCCCTCAGTAGGCAGAGGGGAAGAAGTAGCGCATCAACCCCCAGATGCCCCTTTCAGATTGTTCCCAGAAAGGCCAGTGAAACTTTTCTTTGATGTGCCATGCCCAGCTGAGCAGGAATGTGCTCTGGACACAGCCTGACCCAGGCCTAAACTCTGTGTTAACCACACTAAAGCCAGAAGCACCCGTGCAAGCAAAGCCCAGGGATGTTATGGCTGGATTTTATCTTCCTCCTCAGGCTACAGTACTGGTCCTTGCTGGGTTCTGGACTCCAGACTGGCAAGACCGTGGGTGTGATTGGTATCTGCCTGCCTCCAGACCACAGACACCTCCCTGCCGGCTCACCACAGCAGCTGGCGAGCGGGCGGGAGATACAGAGCAACAACGCACCAGGTATTTGGCTGCCAGCAGCAGCTACCGGTAATCACTGACCTGCGGTCTTGTCCCTGGGCATCTGGAGACAGATTTTCCAAAGCTGTTCCCTTGGTCTGGGAAAAACAACTGGTGAAGGAATTTCCTGAATCAGAGCTGTTATCGCTGTTGGCCAGTTTGGGCTTCCCGGACGAGAAGGCATGGCCAAAGCCATCATGGACTAGACTTCTTTTCTCCTGGCTGTCCTTTGACCTGGATGAGCTCGTTTGAGTGGAGGGAGGGGAGGAAGTATCGTTTCCTGAGTCATATTCATGATACTCTCCGTTCTGGCGGGTTAGGTTGCCAGGCGGGCTGTCTGTTTTGGTAAAGAGGTCAGCAGAAGACCCTGACTGAGAGATCTGAAAGCAAAAAAGCCATTTGGCATTGTTTGAATGATTTTTTTTGGGGGGGGTGGGTTGTTTTTTTGTTTTTTTTTTTTTTTTTTTTTTTTTTT